CCCTAGTCCTACATTTGTATGTAGCATTGCACAGACTCCTGTGTTCATGTTAAATACCTGAATATTACCACAGCTCTTTTTTTCTCTGTTAAAACAATACAGTCAGCCACATTTCTAGGTAAGAATGAACATGCATAGGATATTTCAAGAAAGAAAACGAGTATGTTTTTAAATATGAATCTAAATCTTCAATGTAACTGGCAACATCAAAGGTAGTACATGTCATTTGAAAGTATTTTTAAATCCTATCCTTTGAACACAAAAGTTATAATTTTTTTCTTTTAAAATGCAAGTCTAAAAAGTAGTTTTATTACTGCTAATCACTGCCTAAGGCATTGTTTCTTCTGGACAGTAATTTTTCTTTAATGTACTAAGAAAAATTTGACTGACGATGTTAAAAATTAGTCAGTCATTAGCTTCTTAAAAATAGTAACATGTCAAAGAACAGTAACTTCTTTGAATTATATATGTCTCATTAACACAAAGAGAAATTCAAGTCCATTTTGAGATTCAGAAGATTTAATAAGACTCTCCACCCATATTCCTCCCCTCCCAGGCACTCTACTTGCTGCAGCAAACTCAAAAGCTAGGTTTTGTTTTAGTTTTTGTATTTAGCATGCACAATAAAAGCTAGTTTCACCTTAACCTAGTTTCCATTATCAGACAAAAAATTAATTGCAAACACAAAATTATTCTAAGGCTTCTAAGCCCAGATTTAATTAAAATAATTTCTTAAACCAAAACGTAGCTTACAAAAGAATTTCAGATCACCCTGAACTGAAAGCATCCACCTCTACCTCGACTTTCCCATTAGCAAAATAATTAAAGAAAGAAATAACAACCAATTAGAATGCCAGATTTGGATCCTCATTTCTTTGGCTTGAATAGATGAGCTACCACTTTACAACACAAGTACTAGTAAATCAGCTCTTTCGTATGAGTAAGTTGTGCATTTCATTTTCAGAGTAGAAGTTAAAGAGTTATCCTTACACAAGATAACAAAACATACAAACTTGAGTATGTGTATTATGCATTGTGTTACAATAACCATAGCGGCCAGCCTGAATGGGAAGCCAAGACTCAGTTATCCATGCTGACTCTTACAAACCCTTGGAGAACCAGTCTTCTAGAAGCTATCACCACCCATAGAATCTAGTTATCTCACACATCAAGCAAAATTTATGCTACTCATTGATCTTAACTTTTATTTGGTATCAGACCTTCAGGCACTTAGCTATTTAATGCTTCCCTCATGCTGCATGTCATTCTGTCACCCACAGGTGATCCCTTGTCACATATGGGATGACAGCCAGCAGTGTCCACAGTGCAGTGGACAACTCTATTGCTGACATAACCTCTACCTCGCAAGTGTTTGTAGGACTGAACAGCTGCTCCTTGCGTGCTCACGAAGTACCACAGGCGTGTGCAGTTGAAAAAAACCTGACAATCTGGAATAAGCATTTGGAAGAGGTTTGGATTTCATAAACCAGCCTCCCAGTGAAAATACGGCATTGCTTGCTGTACACATGCACATTTAAACAAAACTACAAGTCTCAGAAAATGCCTAAGTCGAACACCCTTTGAGTTTGCTACAAAAAATTTTAAGTTTAAGCGCGTATCACACCATTTCTACTGCCTCTTCCTGCAAGCAATTTTCTGCACGGCTGAGTCATAACTAACATTACATCATCTTACCCAGGGAGGGGCACAATTTCCGTAGAGTAAGAACTACCTCTTACAACCACATCAGCACATTAAAATTGCAGAAACCAAAGACATCTAGGATACATACACTGCTTTAAGGCAGAAGGGGCACTGGGGGAGGAGAAACCCCCAAACTAAACCTGTATATAGTTCAGTCTCGGGGAAACATGTTAACCTTTCATAACTACTACTTTATGTACAATAATGTTTCTACATGCCTCCAAGTTTATTAGCATTCATAACTATAATTTGTATATAAATAATCAGCACATTAGAGGGAAAGAAAAATTCAGGCATTTTTTTAAACAGAAATAGCATAGGAGACCACAGGTTTACTGACAGACTAAAAACAGACCCAGAGGGCCCAGCACCATTTACTCTGCAACTCTAAGTAAAAATGGATCAACAGTTTCATTATTTCTCACCAGCACATCATTGCAGATGTCTCTTAGCTCAGTCTCAATTTTCTCTCTGTATTCTCGAGCCATCTGCTGTTTTTTCTCAGCGCCTTCCGTCTTTTGTTCAATACTTGAGACGACTCTCCAAGATGACCTACGGGCTCCTACAACATTTTTATAGGCAACAGAGAGAAGATTCCTCTCTTCATTGGACAACTCAGCTCCTTGCTCAGTCACAGATTTCATGCAACTTGCCATGTCATCATATCTTTCAGCCTGCTCAGCCAGTTTGGCCTTCTGCACCAGCTCATTTTTATCCATGTTGATGTTTCTAAAGAGGAAAAATAGTGAGGCATTATTCAGACATTGGTCAAGGACAAAGGTGTTTTAACTTCAAAGGCAGAGCACTGTGTATTCTCCAATTTGGAACTGGAAGAGACACAACTGAAATCCAGCACACAAGGCATACTAGCAGCACTGGCTGCTCAAACACATGGACACATGGAGTAGAGAGTTAAAACCACTGCTTCCTCCTGAAAAATTGTAAACTTTTAAAAGTATGTTATTTTAATAAACACAAACAAAAGCATCCAAAGGTGAACTGAAACCAAATCATTTCTATCTTATGCACAAAAACGATCCTAATTCTTTGCCACCACTTTTTCATAAGGCTACATTATCAGTGTAGCAAAACTGACAAAGAAAATATCCAATAGCAAGCTTTCCACAGGAGACAACCAAATAAAGGTTGGACAAAGAATATCAAGCAGCATTCTGAACCTTAACAGAATCAGTTACATGCAGAGGCACTTCACATAAACACCTGCAAATCAAATCCCACACTGGATGTTAAAAAGTCATAGTGCAACAAATATCTAAATTGTGAGTTGTACACCTTCCCACAATGCTAACTCCCTTTCCTAAAATGGGAATCCCCATTATGGGATGTTCTGTGTCAGATATTGCTGCTCTGCCCATGAGGCTGTGCTTTCACAGACAAAAGAAAATTTTACTACTTAAAAATATGACCTCAACATCAGTATTTTATAACCTGTCTTATCAGCACAGAGGTATTGAGAAATTTCTTTTGGCACAAGAAGCAAAAATACTTCTGCCTCATCCCCCATGCTTCTGTATACCCTAACTTGATCATTTGGAGGAATTGGTAATGTGCTTTGGGGACACATTATCCTTTGAAGTTTAACAAGATTATTAAAGCATGAACCAGTTTTGGTCATGAGTGCTTTATCTATTTCTGTACGTTCCACACACCCCAACCAAGCATTTTCATTTTTACCACTAAGACTTTTGCCATCTTATGTGACGTTAGGAGAAACAATGGCATGGCTTGTGTTCCGTCTTTGGAAATAAACTAAGCACATTTTAACATTCCAGGTGACTGCAAATTTTAACGGCTCCTGTCCCCAGCGGGGAGGCACAAACTCGTTTGTGTGCAAGCGCCCGTTGGAGAACTTGCCCACACCGCGCGCGGCGGGGTTAAGGAGCCATTTTAAAGCGAGCGTTTGGCGGTGGTTATTTACCACTCGGCTTGACCGGGGCAAACGCGGTCACAACGCCGGCCCCGCCGCCGGTCCCCGGGGCACCGCAGGCTGCCGCGGCAGCATCCCCGGGCGGGCCGCCCGCCGCCCCCGCGGGCTGGGCGCTGCCGCGGCTCCGGCACGGGGAGCGCGGTGACAGCAGAAAATGGAGCGGCCCGGGGGCGGGCGGAGCGGAGGGCGGGGCGGGCGGGCGGCCCCGGGGCGCTGCGGCCGCCCCTCCCTCCCTCCCTCCTCCCCGCGCCGCGCCCGCCGCGGGGACACCGAGCGCCGCGCCCGCCGCCTTTGTCACGGCGGGTGGGCGCCGGAGCCCGGCCCGCCCCGATCCCGCTCCCCTCCGCCCAGCGCTCCCGGGGGAGGATGCTGCGTCCCCGCCCCGGAATAGGGAAAGCCCGCGGGTCCATCCCCGGGAGATTCGGCGCGGGGGAGGGAGAGCGGCGGAGGAGGAGCCCCCTCTAGTCCCGGGGGAGCCGCCGCTCTCGCCCGGACCCCTCGGCCGGGGCGGGGAGGATGGGCGGGGGGGGGGCTGGGCGGTGAGAGGGGCTGTGGGGGCCTGGGCGGAGGGAGGGAAGCGAGCGCGGTGGAGGGGCGGCCGCGGCGACTCTTCCGCGGCCGGGCAGGGCTCCCGGCGGGAGACCACACCCGGCAGCGCCGCCGCCCGCGCCCCGGCCCCCGCCCGGCAGGGGCGGCGCTCCCCTCCCTGCGGGCGCGGGGTCGCCCTCACCTGCCGCCCCCTCCGCCGGCGCTTCCCCCGTTTTCCCCGGCGGAGATGGGCCCCCGCCGCCCCGCGCAGCGGCCCCCGCGCCCCGCTCCCTCCCCGTGGAGCCGCGCCGGGGGGAGCAGGGCGGGCTGGGCGCTGTCCCCCGGCCGCCCCGCTCAGTGCTCCCGACCTGCGGCGTGCCGGGGGAGCCGGTGCCGGGCGGCGGCCCCGTTACCTGTGCGCGGCGGGCGGGCGGGCGGGCGCGGGTGCGTCGGTGCGGGCGGGCGGCCGGCGCGGACTGTGCGGCTCTGGCGCTCGCGGCGCTGCAGCCTCGCTCCCTCCCTCCCTCTCCCGGCGCCGCGCACGGGGCGTCTCCGCCAATCACCGCTCCGCTCCGCGCGGGCCGCGCGCCGCCCGTGACGTCAAGCGGCGCCATGGCAACGGAGCGCGAGGGCGCGCGCGAACCTTCCCCCTCCTCGCTCCCCCACCCGCGGTCACGCCCAGAGCCGGCGGCGGCCCCGCCCGCGGGCGCGCGCCTGCCCCCCGCCCCCACCGCCGAGCCGAGCGGGGCGGCCCGGCCCGGCCCGGGGGTCCCGGGGGCGCTGCGGGTTCGGGGCCGCGTCCCGCCCCCGCCGCGGCACCGGCCCCGGCCCGGCGGGGACACCCCCGCACCCGCCCGTGGGCGGCGGAGCGGTGCCCGCGCCTGCGGCACGGAGCGGGGGCGGCAGCGCCGCCTCCTCGTGCGGCCGCGGGCCGTGCGCGGATGTCACCGCCGCCCCCCGCGCACCCCGGGCGCGCTCTCCAGGCTTTGTGCCGCCGCGAGCGCCCAGTCTGCCCCGTAACCCCCGCCGAGCCCCGTGCGTGGCCGGTGACTGAGCCCCGGGGCACGGGGGGGGAGCGGGACTGTCCCGGAACACGCGCGGCTGCGGGTCCGCTCCGCATCGAGCCGCGCCCGGAGCCTCATCCTGCACCGGGAGCGCGACTCGTGCTGGGGGTTAGAAACGAGAGGGCCAGAGGAGGATGGGAGGCCGGGGATGGCGGCAGGGCCCGGGGAGATCCCCCCGGGGCTGGCGGATGGGCGCTCAGCGGCTCTGCAGGCGCAGGACGGTCCCTCTGGAAGCCTCTCCTTTGGAAAGGCAAGCGGGCATTTCGGACAGCACCATTCAAACGTTGATGAGAACATGCTGACAGGAGTAGGAAGAGTATTAATAAATATTGCTGTTGTTGGAAATGCTTTTTCATTTTCTGGAAAAAACTCCCACCCTGTTTCCTAAAGGTCTTGGAAGTCGGCATTCCCTTGTCCCCTTTCTGAACAGCATGCCCCAGCTTGAATCTTTGTCTCAAGTATGCAGTGTCCTGACCTCTCCTGCTTTCTCCTGGGCTCTGGGATCAGCAGTGTCTCACAGGATTAGAAATAAAATGGAGAATAATAAGATGGAGAAAGCACGTCGAAATATTTTTTGAAAAGGGCCAGGTAGGCTAAATGAATCTCTTCTAGATTCATGTTGTATCTGGCACTGCCATGGGCCAGGAGCATCTCCAGAGCGGGATTCCCTGGCCGGGGCTTGCTGCAGGCTGCCGTGCCCGCGGGAGACCCCGGGAGCTCTCCGCCCTGTTCCCGTTCGGCGCAAACCTCACGGAAAGCCGCGGCTCCGGTCACGTGCCCGGGACGCGTCCCGGCCGTGCGGCCGCAGCGGGAACGGGCGGCGGCGGCTCCGGGCGCGGCTCCGCCGGGCTCACCCCGGAGCAGCTCCCGCAGGAACAGCCCGGCGCAGGACGGGCCTGTACTTATGTCTACAGCCATAAAAGTCTGTCGGTGGGACAGAGCGAGGGAGTAGCGGAGGAGGAGTGAGGCGCTTCCTTCTGGAAAGCAAGAAGAAGTTATGGATGTATTTGTGTTCTAGGGTGGCCGGCAGCAGGTTGGTTCGGTACCAGAGGTAACAGCACCATCAGGTTCTCCCGCAGATGCACTGCCTCCTGCTCTTGCCTGCCCACCTCTCTCTGTCTTTTCCAGGCAGTTCAGGACAGCTTCCCAGTGAGGTCTTGCACCCTGCAGTGACAAAGTGACTGTGGACCTGAGAGTGAGATAAAGCGATGAGAACGCCGTCCCTTTCATCTTCAAAACAGTGATCCTGTATTTTGACTGAATATCAGAAAGGTCCTGCTTTAAAATCCTCATGTCAAAGTTGACTTTTTAAGAACTAGTCTTTTTTTCATTATATCGTATAAAGAGCAGTTAGTTTTTCCATGGTGGCGTTTTACCTGCAGAGTTTGTTTCTGATTTCTTACTACCCTTCCTCATGGCCTAAGATGTATGTTGGGGTTTGTACTCCATGTAAGTTTTGCCCATCAACCTCTGTTATCTTCCACATTAACAGTAGGATATTAAAAAAAATATTTCTCATAATTTCTGGTTCCTTCAATTAACTCTAATGTTTAATGAATTTCATTCAAGTTCCTATGGAATATTGTTGGAAAGCTTGTGAAAAGAGCTAAAAAAAGCAAAAGAGGCAATAATGTGCAGAGTGAAGCTCACCAGAATTTACTAGCTGTGTCAGGTGAGAACATCACGGTTACTTAATTTAAATGTGAAGAATATAACCCTACTCTTTGGTTTCCAAATGATACTTCATTGGTGTATACAGGTACAGAGGGAGGTTTTTGAAACAAACATTGTAAGGCTCAGGTTCATAATGTATTCCAATACACGATGCTTCATTTTATATGTTTTTATTTTTTACCATTATTTTCCACTTTAGGAAGCAATAGGAGGAGAGCTTTAGAGCTGTACTTGAACACAGATGGTATGGTGGCACAGCATTTGCTGCATCTTGTTTCAAGTTATGTTACAGAGTTCATTTTTAACATAAGCTAAAAACCCTTATTTTGTAGAAAAGTCTCATTGAAATGGCAACCACCCAAATATAGAGCATACATTTTCAGAGGTACTTGAATATTTTCTGGTAACATGATAAAAAAAATTAACTGATGCAAGAAAAATTATAATCCTTAAAAGTGCATAAAGAACCCTGGAGACTGGAGCCTGCATTAGAATGAAGCGCAAGTGTGTATTGCATTTTGATATTTCCAGGAAATATAGGGGAATCCCGTGTGAAGTAGGCTGCGATACTGTAGGCAACGTTAATAGTTTTGTGGAAGGAAAACATCAGCCTTTCCATTACTTTTGGTTTTGGAGGGAACGGAACATGTCCTGCAACAACCCTAACTGCCACTAACCATAGTTTGTGTGTGCGTCAATAGACGCTGCACTCTTTCCCCTTTAAGTGGGCTATTTTTGCCAAACACCATTGCCACTCCTCTGGATTTCATGAACGCTGCCATTTGGAACAGATCCAAGGAATTAGACGTTACTCACCTTTGCATATGCTGTCTCAAACAGATACTCGCCTGCTGTCTTTTATTTTTACATTTCCTGCACTTTTCCCCCACTGTGGAATGTTGTATTTTGTCTTGCTTGTTGCAGTTTTGACCAGGGAACTCGGTCTCTTAAAAACCAAGGCTTTAAGCAGCTTTCCTGTTCTTCAGATGCATTTTCTCTGTTGCTCTCCTCACAGCTTTTTGTTCGATGACTTGCACTTTCACTATCTCAGACTGTCAGGCGGCAGCCAGCAGCAAAAACTCATTTGTAGAGTTAGAAACATTTGCATATGAAAGTACCTATATGCGTGTTTATTTACACTCATTCTTACTTTACTTTCTTACATGAGAAGAAGAAATGGAGGGATGGGGAGGGGAAAAAATTACTCCAGATATATTTTATTTCCCCTCTAAACCAGTTTTTAGTTCTTCCCTCCCATCCTTTCTCCACAAGTGCTTAGTTGTTCTTTCTTGTGCTTAAACATAACTAATTAAAATTAGATGAGTACAAGATTGGGTTATCCCCATGCTAGAGGAGTATGTCATGATTTTTGGGGGTCAACCTCATAGACAGGAGCAAGAACAACAACTCAGGAAATCCGTAAGAACAGCTCTTAGAAGTCGGTGGATGCTGTCAGGACTGGAAGGCTCTGTGGTGGTGACTCTTGGTGCTAACCAGGCTGCTGCTAGAATATAGAGATGTCCTGAGATACTGTTGGTTGGTGTTTGTGTTGGTTTTGGGTATTTATTTTTTTTTTTTTTCCTGGGAACAGGAAAATGAGCAAAGGCAGCCTAGCAAAGGGCATTTCCCCAGAGACCAGGAGATGATTCTGCAAATTTACGGCCTGCAGAGGGAAGAAAAGAAGAGCTGGCAGCTCTGTTGTGTGCTCTCCTGCTGGTAAGAGCTACATTTCCAAAAGCTGCTTGCTTAAAATCCTGACTGCTGTGATTTTGTTACATACCTATCTGGGCTGATTCTCTGGCTACATGATCATATACATATGTGTGTAATTTATGCAGCCTTTGTGTGCTTCTGTAGGGTTTTGAATTTCTTTCTCCCATTTAGCAGAAGTAAGATCCTTCACTTTCTGGAATAAAAACATTTATTTACATTTTTAGGTATATATTGTACCTATCTTTATTTTTTCCTTGGCCACTGCCTGTGATTTGCAAGCCAAACTTCAAGCTTTGCAGAAGCTTTTGTTCACCTTCTTTGTAGTCTGATTGTGCTTTTGGATCAATGGATACTCTTCTTCCTCGGGACACTCTTGTAGGTTGACCATCCTGAAAGACTTAAGTGAAGGATGCATGCATTTAGAGTATTCTTTTCCTTTTTGTTCCCTCCCCCATCCCCAATGTTCTAAAATGAGTCAGATTCTGACTCTCTGTCTGGTGCCAGTGATAAAACATGAATTGTGGATAAGGCTACTATTTTCCATCATTGAGTGGAAAGTAGTCGGAGCTGCTGGATTTCACAAGGCCTTTCTCTCTGCCTCATCAAACATTCTGTAGTCTCTCCTCATCTGTATGTAGTCTAATTTTTTATAAAAATTACAAATCTAGCCAAAGAATCAACGCACCAGTGACTCCTGCATAAGTAATACTTTACCCTGGATTCAAATCCTTAAATTATTTTGTATATGGATGGATTTAGGTGTATTTATTTGAGAGTTAGTGCATGGTTGGAAGTGTCCCTAAGGGTCATTCCTCCAATTCATCTGTCAGTACAATGCGAAGATACTTTCCACCAAAATTATTTTAAAATGTTTGCAAACATGTTGTCAACAGTGACAAGTATCCAAGGAGGACAGGATGCCCAACAAATAAAGGGCATAGAAATGATGAATTGTAGGTTACCACATTCCCTGATTCTGAAAAAAATTAATGTAAAATGGCAACTGCCTTTACAGAACCCATCACCAAGTGATGGAGATAAATCATCACTGCTCTGTGCTTCCTACTGACCTTTCTGAGAAAGGAAGCTAGATGCTGGTCTGCCTTGTTTAGAAAAAGTTCCTGAAACTTACCAAAGACTGCAAGTTTGCAGAGAGGTCACTGAGAGCTGGATTTACTCTAAAGAACTTTATTTCTGACCCTCAGTGTATGAGATGTGGAAAAACATCAGGAATTGGCTGCATTTACAGGTCAGCAATAACTTCCAAAAATCCATTAGCTAAAAGGAGGTTTGAGAGATCTGGGTGGTGAGGCTATCACATACACATATGCAAGTTTGTATGTATGCATACAAATCTCATTTATTTCCTTCCATTGTAGTGTTCAAGTACACTAGGGACATTCTAAAAGTGTGCAAATTCTTGAGTTGTTGAGAGCTCATTTTGAAAAAGGCATCATGCCATTGCTTTGGGTGTATCTGTTTTCTTAGGGAAAGTCCAGTTTGTTTCTGTACTTGCACTGATCTTACAATATTAGATATGAACTGAAAAGTTGCACATAATAACAAAGTTCATAGCTCATGGGTAAGGGTGATTAATCAGACTATTTTGAGATGCAGCTAGGGAGCAAGTGTTTTAGGGATGCTGCTGCAATCATCAGAATTTTGAAGAATCCAAATAAAATATCCCCACCATCAGCAACAATAAGGAGATTTAACAGGAATGTTTGAAAACACTTGTCTAGATAGAGGCCTGTAAGTAGAATATACATGGTTTATATATTATGATGTTATTATATTATCATTCCTGTCTGCCTAATGCTGAGGTATTTGCATGTCTTCCAAAGATACAAAGAGCCTATCACATGTATTTTCTTCACCATTTCTCCCTCCAGGAAGCAAGAAGGATGGTGCCAAAATAGGCACACTGTGCCCTGGGATGCAGGAAGGTGGTTGGGCACCTGCTCCTTTGGGAGCACTGACTGGACCTGAGTGCTCTGGGGCTGCAAGTATGAGTTTGAGTGAACTTAGCGTGGCATTGGTAAATTAACTGTGCGTCAGTCTTATCCCAGTCCTTCACACAGGGCTGAATTACTGAATCCAGAGTACTCCTGTTCATTTATGGATTAATACAGTTCTTTACTTTTTGCAAACAATGACCATTGGGATTTGGGAACTCGGAACTCTTTAGCTTGTATTCTTTTCCACCGTGTGTAACTGCTCTTGAGTGAGCAGGGTAACAGTTAAAAAGTGTAGCCAGAAGAGACAGGATGTCTTGAAGCAAACTTGAGACTAACATCATCCTATTATACCTACTTTGATTTATTTTTGGGCTTATTTTTTATTTATTTGTTCTTACTAGCTAATGTTATTTTAATGTTGATTGTCAGGAGAAAGGCTCCATAATGTCTTGGTTCAAATAATTTGTGCCACTTAATTTCAGAGCTTCTCATTTTGTATGCATTTTTCCTGAATTTGTCTCTTATTTTTTAAAGATAAATTATTTATTTTCTTTGCATTCTTTAGAAATAGAACATAGTTGTTGGAGTTGAAGGGATCAGAAAAAAAATGCTAAGGTGCAAGTCTCATAGGGTATGTTCTGAGGATTTCTGGAGGACCTAAAAAATGAAACAGCATAGCTCCTCTAGGATACACACCAATTTCTAAACTCTCACTCTAAAATTTGCCATTAAAAGGATCAATGGGTAACATACTGAATCTATATGTCTATAAGGTAATCCAAGGAATTATGAATACAAATTGTTTATCAGCTTATTAATTGAAGTTAAAAATGAAATGAGACAGTACTTCAAAAGTCATTTTATGAGGTGGTCCCTTTAATTTCTAGAGTAAAAAAATCTCATTAATCACTTACTGGTATCTGAACAGTTTGGTAGAGCTGTGGATGGAGGTAAATTTACTAATATATTTTACTTAGATTTCCACAAGCCCTTGGCAAAATTATCACAACAGACTACTAAAGAAATTGAAAATGTAGTTTTACAAGGAAAACTGAGGCCCCTAAATACATACCAAAGTAACTTTATTCAAGTTATAGGCATTAATAGCACTTCTAATCTTGAAGCTTTGCTTAATGCAGTAGGAATTTACATTTTCTACTGGTAAAATCGCTCAGTTCCCTTGTTTTCGCTGCCGAGCATGTGCAAAACCATCTTGACAGCTCCAAGCTGCTAAGCCCCAAAGAAATACATAAAATAAGCATTTTCTTGCAAGTTTCCTCACAACTGCCTGTCAGCTTCAGTTTTGCATCCCAGCAACCAATTTCAACTCACTTTATTTTATACTGATTACATTTATCAGAATTTATTTTATATTCTTGGTAGGATATTGAAGGAAGATCTCAGGGCCACATATTGCTGCTGAAGTGTTAGACAGCATTTAGCATGAACAGGATCAGGAATGAAAACCTGGCATTTTTTAGCCTGGTTGCCTTTGAAGTTAGCTTTGTGAGATTGTGTTGTTTATCTCTCTGTACATTCAGCAATTCCCCCGAAAAACTTTGGGAATGGGTTGCAAGCAAATTTGAAAGATGAGCTGAAATCTCAAGATAAATAAGGTCTGTGAAAAACTGCAGCTGTACAGAGGACAAAGCGTGTAATGAAACGCCTGTGCTGAGGGAGAGGCAGGTGGGTGCAGCCCTTCCACAGCGGCTGAGCCCCCAGCCTGGTGGAGTGGGCTCTGAGATTTTTGATTGAGCATAGCATGTGCCCTATAGACAGTGGCCTTGCAAGAGAACCTGAGGTTGTAATGGCAGAAGAGATTTTTAGGAGACAAGGAACTTAAGTCTATGAAAACAATCAATCAAACCCCACCTCATTTGTTTAATTTCTTACAAAACAACTTGCTTCTCTTGCCCTGCCTCTTCTTCCTCCTTTTGGCCCTGAACACCTTTTTTCCTCCCAGGATCTCTGGAGTCTGTTACTATCTTTGTATTCCCTTTGCTCTCCTGGCTCAGCATCAATGCCTGTAACTTAACCAGTCTAAGGATCTTGTCTGATTTGGAAATGAGGTCTCAAATATACCCTGGTGTGAGCCAGTTAATGGCTGGCTGTTTCTTCATCCAAGAAGTTCAACCAGGCTGTTAGGATGTGCTCCTGTCAATAGTTGTAACAAAACTAATTGGTACGTACCCTTATCCATCCTGACTGGAGAATCTTCTGCTTTGATATTTATACTCCTGGAACACTTGTGGATTCTTATCATGCCCCCCCGTTGTCAGATACCTGACATTTTGAAGACCCAGCTGTTGTGTGTGGGAACTAATGAATCTAGTTTAAGAGAGGCTAGCTAGAATGAAGCCAAATTATTACTTTTTAAATCTATACGCACATTTCAAATGGTACATTGCAATGGTTTTATAATATTCTTATATGGAGTTTTACAACTGTCCCACAGGTGTGTGTTACTCTAAAAATATGTGAGAGTTGTATATTTTACAAATCAGTTTAGCTGGAGAAACAAAGAAAAATGCCCTGTCTCCTTTGTCTTCTATGTCAGATTCTTCCACAAGATGGATAACTTATCTAGCTTGGAAATGTTTGTAGTTCTTCTCTGGTCAATTATCTAAACAGGATACAACTGAGCTGATGTCAAAACAAAGACTACACACATGTATACTACTGGCTGTGATAAAAGCTGCTCTTCTACACAACTTCCAGCTTGTGAAACCTGACTGGTTTTGCATAATAGCTAAGCCCCAGGAAGTATAAAATTAGTGGGAGTACTTGCAATGTGGCCAAGTTACAGTTTTACAGTCGTTTGGAGGTCAGCAGCAAATTGACATCTACACTCAGTCCTGCAGGGAAAGTCTCTGTAGGGACAGAGCTCTTAGGCAAACGTCCATGATTTCCCTGTGGCCATATGGAAAACCTGGGGCTGAAAATGGGGCTGAGCTCATATTTGCAAGCTAATGCCAGAGTTACCAAGACAATCTTTCTTGTCATTTATCTGGGGCAGACTTCGAAACCTAAGCCCCAAAGAAAGATTTTTGAAGAAGAAAATCCAGGCCTGAGGTCTCACAGGGCAGGCACTCTTTCTTTTCTCCCAGCTTTTGGGTTCTCTTTTTTGTATTACTTAACTTGAAAAGGATGTTTCAATGAGAAAAAGGTTAAACTCCTAAACAAGACTACCAAGTTTATAAATGATATTATCTCTCAAATAGTTAATGCCTCACTTCTCAGTTAAACTATTTTGTTTTTTTCAAACTTGGCAGACTTCTAGGTCGGCTAATTAACAGTGTAACTGGGCTGTAACCAGATGATCTCTATGATACGACAAGCAGCATGTGAGCAGCAATAATAGCAGTAGACTAACTTCAGAATGCTGTGAGTTGCTCTGAGCTTCACCAACAGATTTGTTGATCAGCTCCAGATTTTACAATGTCATTTTTCTTCTTTTACAGAAAAACTGTCACCAGAGCTGGTTACAGCTCACATCTGCAAATGCAAAAAGTTGTATGGAGACAATGGCGCACAGGAAGACTTGCTAGGCTATGGATTAAGCCAATTATTTAGAGAAGATGGTGTGCTCAAGGAAAGCTCAAAACTTGAAAGCAGAGATTAGGTGCCTTTCTAAGGAGAATAGGTGGAGGGACAAGATTTGAGGAAAAAAAACCTGCTGAAGAAAATGTTCCAGTTACTGTGAAAACAGAAAAGGAGGGGGGTAATAAAAGAATGAAGCCTATCTAGTTTCAAAATTTGGCTGAAGAAAAAGAAGTAGTAAAAATCACTACTACAGATGAGATCCAAAGATAATCTTACGGGATGTAGAAAGATCTGTACTGTATCCTGCAACTATCAGAAACCACATGGGAAAGAAGATTTTTTAAGAAGCAGTTTAAAAGACAAAGTGGAGATTTGGAGGTGTCCAGCTAGAGCTATGGTTGATGTTCAGGTAGGAAGTTCTCAAAATGTCCTGAATTCCAGGCTTATATCTGTCTGTCAATGCAGTCTATGCTACAGCTGCTCAACACTGATGAAGAAACTCTCTGAATCTCTGAACCTTTTGTTTTCTCCATCTCCTACTAGTAGCAGGTGATGAGGAAAACACAGTTAGGAGTTCTCTTTCTGATGAAGCTTTTGAGTTCTCCGTGCATAAGCACTTTGTCTGTGACATGAAAACTACTCCCCAGCATCTGGACACAACTCAGGCAAGATTTTTCCTGTAGGTTTTTGGTTAACAAGTTGGGCTGATGTACCTTCACCTCAGCTGTAAATGAATCCTCTCTTGGCACTTGTACAGTGTGCCATTCCCAGGAAGATTTGGGAGTTTGTTGGCATGTCCTGCCCCTGGCTCACATATTCCCTGGCATCACTCTGACATTCCTACAACAATTTATATCCCCAGCAGATCACTTCCCAAGTAAATATGGCATAGCAGCTCAGAGGGTGGTCGAGGACTGCTCAATACATTCATCTGGATATATGCAGATCTAAAGTGCTCTTTTTCTGTGCCTTGGTGCTTTGCCACCAACCAAAAATTCCCGCTCTCCCTCCTGCTGTGATCTTCCTCCCACAGACCAGCCTTGCTGGTGATTTTGTCTTGCTCCTCCCTTCCCCAGCAAGCTTCTTGCTCTGACAAATTCTCCCTTGGCTACAATAGCTCCTGCCGGGTTCCTCCCAGTCTGTGGTCATGGTTGCTGGGGTGGATGTGAGCATACCTGGCTCCAAGGCCACAAACTCTCCCTTTGCACCCCTAACAGCCCAGGAACTGCTTCAAATTCATGAATCCATCCTGCATATAATTTGAAAGTGCACTTTCTTCAGAGGAAAAATAAATTGCAAGAAGGAAAGCGTCTCTACCTGAAACCAAGCCTGTGTTGTTTTGGGAGTGGAAAAGAATCCCTAAACAAGATGACAAAAACACACAGTATATTATTTTGATTACAGTTGTTCAAACTGAATATTTTTACAGATCTGAAAATAATTAAAGGGATTAAAAAATACAGGAGGCACATTTTTTTTCTCCTAGTGTTTTGAAAACAGTCTCCATGTTTGCTAGAGATCCTTTTCTCTGCTCTTTTTTACCAAGGTCCCCAAGTAAGATAATGTTTTTCCTGGGGTTTTTGGGGGAAAGTCTTAATTAATCTTGATTAGACACATCTAGAGAAGGCTGGCTGCCACAAACCCATGGGTACTGCAGAGACAGTGTTTCTGAGGTGTGGTCCTGGTGGGCGTTGTTCTGTAACCTTGTGGGAGCATCTTCGCTGGACCAAGTGCATGCTGCTCTTTTCACATCACACCTGTTGTGTCTTCCTTGGAGCATCTGTTCATTACTGTCAAGGGACCCCAGGCAGCTGGCTGTCCACAACGCCAAAGGGAATGTCTTTTATCAGGTTGGGGGGCATCAACATGTGGTTTTCTTGTGGAGATGACAGCAGCAGGTTTCTACATATGTTTGTTTCTTCCCATCTTCCTTTTCATGGTGAATTCAGTCAAGGTCTGATTTGTTACGTATAAGGGGGGTTTGATCTTTCACTATACTGCTTACTGCTGCAAGGAGGGTGCTAGGGAACCCTGATACTCCTCAGAAAGATATCCTGAATTTATTTTACATAGTAATCAGCAGATAAGATGCAAAAGTAGTCCTTAGGGCACAGAGCAGAACCAATTTGTTTCACCCTGGTTTGTGAGCTCTGGACAGCAGACCAGCAGGCTGCTGTTGCTCTTAGGATCAATGCTCTGTTATTAATTTTCAGACAAATATGACAAACATTTAGCAGGAGCTAAAGATCCCCTTATAGAGACTGATAGCAAGAGTATGCCCTGAAGAAATGGATTTGCCTTTTCTGAGGAGAGAGTTGAATTTGGGTCCTCCATATGCTGGGTGAGTATTCTTCCCACTGAAGTGCTGTGTGAAGGTGATGGGGAAGAGAAGGTAGGCAACTTCAGTCATTGTTGGAAAGCTTCTCACAGCTCTACCTTTGGAGGAAACAACTAGCTCTTAATCCCCAGCAAAAAAAAAATTCTTCCCTTCAACCTGGATGTGGGCAGAATGAAGGTGCACCATTGCAGAGATGGTGCAAAGGATCTGGGTGCCAGGCCTGTCATGCAGCAGCAACAGCAGCAGCATTTGCAGGAAAAAGCTGACATGACTCTGATGCGCCTCTGTCACGCACGGCAAGTAAAAGGTGTAGGCAGAAAGTCTGTCCTTTGGGAAGTACCAAAATCTTGCCAGAACTTGACATGAGGTGGGTGTGGAGGAAAGGGAGGTTTCCATGTTTCATGCTGAAACAACATACATATTCACTAGCATCCATGTTCACAGTCTTTATTGCTGCGCTCGGTTTAAACAGGAGCCAGTCCCACTTAGAAGGCAGCTGGGTATGGGGTGGGCTGTGGGTTGTTATTTCTACTTCTGTAACAATCCGTGTAAAGATGTCAGCCTGTGCTGAGATCCAGTTAGGCTATAAACACAGCTAGCTGGAATCCCTGGGAGAAACTGAAAGATAGATGACTTGCCTGCAGATAAACAAGACAGTGGCAAAAATAGTACCTGGTCTCTGGACTGAAAAGCCAGCCTGGAATCAGCCTGGTTTGTCTTGTGCTGCCCACAGCTCACAGACAGATGTGAATATGTCAGGCTGAACTGGATCCGTTAGATCTAATTAATTATAATATATTAAATAATTAAAATAATGAAGATCAGGCACAATTAAATTAAAAACAAAGAGATTTAGCAAGATTAGGCTGTTAATACTGTACAGATTAGGCCATTAATCTTGGGGGAGATCCAACATAAATGATACGATATCTAGCTAGCTGGGAAATGGTAAATTGGAGGTAATATCAGGTTCCCAGTGTAAGGGAGGAAATGTATTTTCCCATTCAATGTTGCAACCTTATTTTTAGACAAGAACAAAATACTGAACATACCAAGACATATATATGTGTAAACATACCCCTTAGGTGTGATGGCTGTGAGTTATACAACTTGTGGACTTCAAGGGGACAGGGAGTTCGCAGCTTGAAACACTCAGTTAATTATATACACTACTGTACTTCCCAATTAAGTTTGTAAGAGTTATTCTGTTATTTGTGGTCACTTTAGCACTGGGGAAGCTGACTTTGACAGCTCCAGCAGCAGAAGTTGTTCTTTGTCCATAAAACAGGTGCAGCCCTTCAGGAGACGAGAGGGAGCTTGGGGCTTCATGCTCATTCTTTTCCTGGCCTCCCCAGGATCTCATCATTACTGTTGTCAGCAATAATGCATTTATGATGCTCTGTTTGTGAGAAGAGCTCACTGTGTGGTTCACGTGAGGCCATGTTACCCCCTGGAAATCCAGGTCTGGTGGGAGGTCCTGGAGCCCAGGCACAAAGCCATGGGGAGCTGCAGAATACCCCAAAGCTGTTTGTTGGAGGCCGAGCACGGAGAAGAACAATTTGTACCAGCTGCTAATGGAAAAGCAGGTGAATGTGACCAAAAGCCTGGCCTGCACTTCACAGGTAAAATGATTTTACAAGAAAAGGAAATTCTTTTTCAAGAGCCAAAGAACAAAGACATTTAGGCCTCCTCTGGGAAATACAGATGAGCAATTGGAACTGCTGGTTTTCTCTGTATAATCGAATACTGTATTCCTGGAGGGATCTTTTTATTTGGTTCCTTGCTCTCTCTGGTTCCTCTCTACAATGTACACAAGCTGCAGTACAGAAAATATAGATAGTCAAAGAGAGATAACACTGTTCTAAGAGAATTTAATTAATAAGTCCTTGTGGCACTGAACGGGTAAGTATGGAAAGAATGGAGGAAGATGAGCAAAAAGATATCCTATTAATGTCTGACTGTATTAAATATTTCATTGAAAGAAAGCAAAAGATGCACCAAAACAAGTTTAGAGTTCTTGAAAAACCTAAAAACTAATATTAGGCAATCTCTTTTCTCTTTTTATTTTGCTTTAGACAAACTGAGTACTGTGCCACTTTCAAGGAGAACACTTTAGCAAAAGACATCTGAAGTCCTCAGAAAGGACTGGGGAAACAGAACAGAGGGAAAGAACTCCCTCTTTTTTTTTTTTAACCACCACCTTTCCCAGCTGCTCAAGAGACACCTGTGAAGGCCTGCATGGGTGGGTGCCAAGTGCACCAAGACACAAGCCCTGGACACCCATTGCCCCACAGCACGCAGCAGGCAGGCAACAGCAATGCTGTTCCATTTCAGGCTGACCCATGAATGAAAGATTCTTGGCATACTGATCTTGACTTCTGTCCTGTCAGTTGTCACTTCCCAGTGCCCTTGGGCTGGCCGAATTTGCTCTTGCTGATGGCCTTTATATATAGTTCCCTGTCCTGGTGCTTGTGTTGAAACTGGGCTTTTAGGTTTTTCAGTAGATCTTGGAACTGCAAATTAAAATCACATATCCCTGCTTTTACTAGAAGCTTTGCTGAAGTCCAGAAGTTGCTGGAAGCCTGATACTCTTCACCATTTACTGGCTCTGAATGATGTAGCTACCCATATTTTTAATTTCCTTTCATTTACTTGTGTGTACAGGACCTCTGTCATGACCAGCAGGAAACTCTCCCCTGGGTACAGAGAGGCAATTCAGTGTCTGTGCCAACCCTAGCTTGTAAAAGCCTGGCAGCTCTTGACAAACAAAGCCTAGAAATGTTGCTATTAAAAGCGTTTATTGAATAAATCCATATGTGACAAAATGATAGCTGCAAAAAGCAGTAGAATTGTTTTTTAATGGATAAATCTTATTTGAAAGTTAAAGCTGAGCTGGGAAAGCTCAGAGAACAGTCACCTGAGGATAGAGCTTTGAGCAACGTGGGAAAAATTAGAACCAATATGAACAATATAGAGGATAATAGATTTGAGAACATCTGCTTTGAGGGGAAGCTTTTATGTAAAGAAAAGAGAGGATAAGCCTGGATTTGACTTTGGTATTTGAACGTTCTCACAAATAGAGATAGCAGAAGAAGCCCTCATTCCTTTAGCAGGCCTGCAGCAGTTGGAGCAGCAGGAGCCCTGCCCTGCGCAGGAAGTGGAAATCCAAAATGACCATGGGACACGATCTTGGTTTTATGTCTCTGCTTGAAGTGTCTTTGCTTTGGCCTTTCCTTGGTGATCAGAACTTGGTCTAGCCAAGAAGCAGAAAAAAAAGGTCATTGTCTAAAAAGAGACATTGGGACAGTATTTGGCCATAAATTCTTCCCCCCACCCCTCCCCCCCAACATTTGCTATATAAATTGTTGCTTAGATACTGAATAGAATTAGTCCTGATTGGACTAATCTGGACTGGACTGATTTGGGTGGGTGATTGAATATTTCCTTTTGAGGGATGAGAAACTCTTTATTAGAACTAGCAGTGGCAGATGTGGTAACCTGGAGGTGCAAAATATCCTTCCTGGGAATAAGGAGTCTCCAGCAAGGATAGACAGCTCCTGTGACTGCTGCTGACATTCATGAATGCAGTATGGGAGTACTCAAACCGATTCAGGAATTTCTTGGCACATATAATATCCACATTAGGAAAATGTTTTGTATTATTTGAGAGACGGTCTAGCTTGTCCAGCCTCTTCAAAGAGATTATTGGAAAAACTATGAAAACAGCATATCAGGATTATAAAGATAGAAATGAAAGGGAGGACTGAAAAATGTTATGGAAGAATGAAAACAAATAACATCTGAAAGTACAGCATCAGAACTGAATCTGCAGAGAACTCCTGCATGAATGTCACATGCAAACTTGTATTTAGAGAAGATACTTGAGAAGCAAGGAGTTCAATCTAGCAAGGAACAGATTTTTCAAAATCAGACATAGGAAAACAGTAAGAAATACCTACTGTGTTTGGAATGTTACACATACAGGTGCAGCTGCCCAATTTAGAAATGAGTCTGACATTCCTGCTCACAATCTAGGAGCAAGTGAATGTTTGTATGCACTATTGCTGTAAACCAGTCTCATCACCTATGAATATCTTGCTTCTAGAAATGTCAATATTTTAT